GGTTCTGGTCGTCTCACACGTCTTCCATTTAAGGATTATGGAGGCCACTGTGCTCTTAGGAACCTTAAGTGCAGCAGAATTTTTTTTGTAACCTTGGCCAGATCTGTGCCTTGCCACAATTCTGTTTCTGAGCTCTTCAGGCAGTTCCTTTGACTTCATGATTCTCATTTGCTCTGACATGCACTGTGAGCGGTAATGTCTTATATAGACAGGTGTGTGGCTTTCCTAATCAAGTTCAATCAGTATAATCAAACACAGCTGGACTCAAATTAAGGTGTAGAACCATCTCAAGGATGCTCAGAAGAAATGGACAGCACCTGAGTTAAATATATGAGTGTCACAGCAAAGGGTCTGAATACTTAGGACCATGTGATATTTCAGTTTTTCTTTTTTAATAAATCTGCAAAAATGTCAACAATTCTGTGTTTTTCTGTCAATATGGGGTGCTGTGTGTACATTAATGAGGAAAAAAAAATTAACTTAAATGATTTTAGAAAATGGCTGCAATATAACAAAGAGTGAAAAATTTAAGGGGGTCTGAATACTTTCCGTACCCACTGTATATATATAAATATATTTATTATATAAACATAACATATTTTTCTTAAATGTATACTTGCGTGTGTGTGTTTATATATACATAATAAATATACACAGTATGCACACATATATTATGTAAAGAAAAACTTATTTTAGATGCGATTAAGCGTTTGACAGCACTAGTTTTTATTTTAGTTGTAGTTTAATTTTAAGAATTTTGAAGTGTGCTTTTATCTTTTTTTTTTCATTTTTTAAATGGTTTTAATTTGTTTTAAGTTTCAGTTAGTCATTTAAAGTAATTTTCTAACTTGCATCAGTTAGTTGCCATTATAACGCATCCAACATTTTATTTTATAAGGTTTAATATTTTTTTTATCTAGCTTTAATTTATATTTATTTCAATTGTAGTTTTAGCAATTTTAATACTTCAAATTAAGCTCATTTTATTTCAGTTAGTTGCCAAGCAACATTAAACTTTTTTTTTTTCAGGTTTTAAAGTTTTTAATTTAATGTTTATATTTTATTTTATTTCAGATTTAATGTTTATATTTTATTTTATTTCAGATTTAATGTTTATATTTTATTTTATTTCAGATTTATTATTTCAAATGTAATTGTTTTAGCTACCTCTACAGCAAAATATATATATTTTTAAACATATTTTTAAATATATTTCAAAATATACAAAAATGGCCACAAAATTACATTTGCTAAAATGTTTCAAAATATATTTATGTAAATATATTTTCTAATAATACATTTAAAATATATATATTTTAATAATATAAATATTTTTAAAAAGCATATATTTTGCCTTCCGTATATTTCAAAAATACATTCACCAATGTCCCATTTGAAGAAAAACTTTTTGTTATCTATAGCACATGCGAACACATTTGAATAAAAATAAGTTATGAATCAAGCCTAAATGTAGGCTACTGTAAGATTGTAAATGTATTTTCTTTCCCCTGAAATATTTTTTAAAATATATTTTGGTTGATGAAGGTTGAAAGTAAATATATTTTCAGTTTCAAAAACACATTTCGATGAACTTCACTGTTTGCCGCATATATGTAGCATGCATTTATATAAATATATTTGACCAGAAAAATATAATTTTTTTGCTGTATGGGTAATAACAACACTGATAAGAGAATGATTTGGAATTCAAGCTCACAGGACGCTCCACCCTTAACTGACGTTAGTATAATGCAAAACAAAAAAAGCTTTTGCACTGCATTCTGGGATTGCCTTCTCCACTGAAAACAGGTGCAATGCTAAAAATGTGGCCCAAACAAGGTGTCAAATGAATAATGCATAATGTTGCCTCCTTTTGGAGCAGCTTATGCATTGAAAACGTCTATGATTTCTGAAAATGCTCTCTTTGTAGGCCATGCACAAGGTTTTGTAGCAGAGCTCTCGTGTTCGGGCTCGTATGTTTAACAGATGAGGGTTTATCAGGCCTCTCAGCAGAAGCTGATTGTGACATTGGAAAAACAAACAGAGGCTGAACACTTGCATAATTTCCCATATGGCCCTGCGGCAGCGTCAACATCCTGCTTCTGTCCCTTGTGCACTTAATGACCGGTGTCTCCTAAATAGTGCAGAATGGTTTTCAGATATTTTTAGCAAATTGTATTCTAGATCATCACAACTAATGAGGCCAGGAGACAGTCGGATGTTCAGAGCTGGTATCTGATCTGATTTACAGATATGCTGCTGTCCAAGGAAGAAAAGAGCAAATCTCCGCCCATGTTCCTCTGCTTTAAGGTGGGGAAGCCAATGAGGAAGTCCTTCGCCGCTGGTCGGACATCTAGCCCCGCCCACTCGTACGTTGGCAGAGGGCGGCAACCAGAATATTGGTTTGCTGTGCCTCAAGAGAGGTATGAAGGGGTTCCTACTACTTTCTCCTAACTGCTTGTTAAACGATTATTAACCGTTAAACGACAAGATTATTTAAAATTAGTGTTAAATCACATCCAAAATAAAAAATTGTTTACATAATATATGTATGTGTACTGTGTATATTTATTATGTATATAAAAATACACACACATAAAGTATATATTTTGAAAATATGTACGTTTATACATTTATATATTCATATTCTTATATTTTATATTATATATAAATATATTTAATATATAAACAAACATATTTTTCTCTCTCTATATATATATATATATATATATATATATACATGCATGTTTGTATTTATATATACATAATAAATATACACAGTATACACACACATATTATGATTTTATATATATATAATTTTTTTTTATTTTGGATGTGATTGTGATTATTTTAAATTAGAACTGAAATAAATTAGAAAGGATAAGTGTATGTGGCCCATTAAAAATACCAACATTTGTTTTCCAGGGATTAATTTGATAAAAAGCAGCAAACAACAGAACATGAGGATTTATTTGGTCACATCACGCACTTGCTGCGCTTCTGCGAGCGGGGAAAAACATAATAAAGCTAGACTATATATAATGAATAAATAGGCCTATACAAGATATATATTTTTACTTAATAAATTAACTAAATGAAAGAAAGAAACGGTTAATTTTTGTGCTGCGCGAAAAGGAAACAAAAAAAAATGGCATCCTATTGTTCTTTATTTTACAAAAGCACAAAGATTTAGTTTTTATTGTTAATGTACACAAAGCAATGCAAACCTTTTACATTATTGATAAGGAGTGGTTGTTTCCACTATAAGAAGGAAAACATTCAAGCGTTGTTAACTTGACAATGCAGCCTGTTCGTTATCAAAATAAAATACAGTCAGCCAAACATATGGAAAAAACACACTGCTGCTCAGTTTAAATAATCTGTGCTGTTAAGTGTTATCACCGTACCACCGTGATGTTATTTCAAACACAATTTGTTTTACGTGGTTATTGGAACGTGAGTGAAGTACAAAACAAGGTTTACATAATAAATAACATTTCGGCATTTAAATACATTGCGAATACATAGTGTAAATTGTCATTTATGTAGTCTAGCTTCTTATATTTTTCATTCTCGTTCTTTTCTGAATAATGTTAAACTGAAAGGATTTGTTGGGGAGTGAGGGGAACTAAAAAAGCCTACCCTAGCTATAGTGTTTATAATGTTTGTAAACATTTTGCGTCTGCTTTAGGCCTATTTCTGAATGTAATAATAAAATGCGAGTGTATTTTAACCATGCAGTAGGGCTGTCAAAAATAAATTCAAATTTCGAATATTCATTGGATTTAAAATAAAAATCCACATTCAAATGCAAAAACATTGCATTCGAATTTTAGGTGTGCGTCACGCAGCCTTATCAGTGGCGCACAAGATGCGATGACGATGTAAGTGTCGTTGCATTTTAATGTTGTTGTTTTTTTTTTTTAGCTTATCCAGTTGAACCCACAAGATGCGGCGCTGCTACATTGTTCATTCAAAATATTGTGGAAAAAGAGAACATCAATGCGGAGATGTTGTTGTTTACGTCAAAACTGAAACCAAGCCGTTCACACAGAACGCATATTTATCGCATTTTCTAGAGGGACATCTATCACCTTTGCACTCGCGTCTCGCACAAGAGAGCCGCATGTTTAGAAAGCCATGTAAAATTTATGTAAGTTCAACTTTTAAAAAACATGTCTCGAGACTTTATGGCGGTTTTTCCCATCCCCACTGCATCTCATGTTTTTAAATAGAAAAAGTACTCTTTGTGATTGGTTTTCGGTCCTTTGTATTAAACTATGCACACATGATGCTGTTTTGTTTATAATTGTTTAAGCAACTTAATTAATTATATATGGTTTATAAACATTAATTTAAACATTATGCACTTTTTTTGAAGATAGTGGTGTTATTTTATTGCTTTGAAGAAACGTGCATTAGTAATATTTTGCTCAATGCGCCCTCTTGTGGCCTCAGGAGAGAAGCCAAAAGCTTTTTTCCCCCTCCAGTCGGAGTGACTGTCAGGCGTCCGAAAGTGAGTTTTGATTGAGTAACTTGTAGATCTGCGCTGCTCGAGCCGTGAACTGATGCAGATGCTTCATTCCCATCCCCACTGCATCTCATGTTTTTAAATAGAAAAAGTACTCTTTGTGATTGGTTTTCGGTCCTTTGTATTAAACTATGCACACATGATGCTGTTTTGTTTATAATTGTTTAAGCAACTTAATTAATTATATATGGTTTATAAACATTAATTTAAACATTATGCACTTTTTTTGAAGATAGTGGTGTTATTTTATTGCTTTGAAGAAACGTGCATTAGTAATATTTTGCTCAATGCGCCCTCTTGTGGCCTCAGGAGAGAAGCCAAAAGCTTTTTTCCCCCCTAACTGAAATTATGCATTTTAATTCGAATATAATTTTAAGTACAAAATTTTAATTTAGTTTTTCAGGCATTTTGACAGCCCTACCATGCAGCAGCTGTTTTAAAATATTTTGATAAATTACTGAACGGCTTTTTAAACCGTTTAACTGATTGTATTAATCGGTCAAAGTTCTTACTGTCGGTTAATGGTTAACGGGTTAAAATGAGCTTCCCTAGTTCCTACAATATAATATGCAATTTAATGTACACTTAAATGTACACTAACCAAACCTTCCTGCCGTTTCTCCAAAGAGTGGACCACCTTTACTCGTTCTTCATCCAGTGGTCTCCAGACACTTATGGGAAAGATGCTCAGGAGCAGGGCTTCGTGGTCGTAGAGAAAGATGAGCTCACCATGATCGACAACTTCTACAGTGACCCGGTTCCTCGCAGCTGGGAGGTGAGGAACATGCGACTCTTGTGAGAAACACCTAAAAGAATACGATAAATACGAAAGCTTGGTTTGTTTTTTTGTCATCAGATCATCACGATTAATGAGGCCAAGCGACGCCAGAGCTTCAGCTTCGAGGACGAGGAACCTCTAGATCTTCTTCCTGTGCTGATGGACCCCAGCGCTCTTCTGGAAGACACGCACATTGAGAAGGTCTGCATTTTTGCTACTTTAAAGGGATAGTTCACACAAAAATGAAAATTTCTTGTTAATTTACTCATTCAAGTAGCAGAACCGTAAAGAAGATTTTTAACTGAAATCGTGGCCCTTGGTGATTCATAAAATGCAAGGCAATGGCTACCAGTTTGAGAATTAAAAATATAAAAGCATATCAAGGAACACGAAATTAATACCCATGGTTCCTGACTATATATTGAGGTCTTATGAAGCGAAACGATCGATCTGTGCAAGAAGCTGAACATTACTTACAACATTATTACCTGTAATCCAGAGGCAAATGGGGAAATATGATTCTTTTCTGCAAACTGGTTCTTTTGGACAGTTCGTTTCAGTGTACTGGTGCAATTCACTAGTTAGTTTACGTAATCAAGCAATGACGTAACATATTCGCAATTGTGTTATTATTATAGAGTTGAACTGTTCCCTCAGTTCAGTGACTGTTGGAGGAACTGAAGCACTGAATCCGTTCATTCATCATTGGATCATATATGCCGTTATTTCGGCTCATTTCCAGTCGGAGTGACTGTCAGGCGTCCGAAAGTGAGTTTTGATTGAGTAACTTGTAGATCTGCGCTGCTCGAGCCGTGAACTGATGCAGATGCTTCAGTGAACTTGTTCAACTAGCTCACTAAAAAGAATCGGTTCAAAAGAATGATTCATTCGTGAACTGGACATCACTCCAGACTGTTTGCCTGAGGCTTTGGATTACAGGTAATAATGTTCAGTTTCTTGCACAGAGCGATCATTTCGCTTCATAAGTCATCAATATATCGTCAGAAGCCAAGGCTATTCATTTGCCATTAGTAATTTGCTGTAGCAATTGATTTTTATGAATCACCAAGGACCACAGTTTCAGCTGAAAATTTTATTTACTGTTCTACTGAAGAAAAAAATTCACTGAGGGTGAATAAATTCATTTTTGGGTGAACTATCTCTTTAACTATTTAAAGGTCCATTGGGGTTTGTTTGTGATATTATGTGATGATATAAATGGTAGAGGTGTAACGGTACACAAACATGACGGTTTTGACATCACGGTTCGGTATGGTTTCGGTACAGCCGGAGGGAAAAAACGAAACTTCTTTTTTTATTATTATTAAACAATGGTTTACTGAACAAATTGCTTTTTCTTTAAATAAATTCAATTACAATTACAATTTTCTTAGGGATAAAAATCTGCCTCAGCTTCTCTAAACTATAGGGAACACTTTTACATTTCTGTAAGGGTTACAATTAACAACAGAGCCTAAACTTAAATTCAATTACCATTTATTTTTAACTATAATAATCAACACTCAAATTTAAAATTTGTATGCAAACATGTAAATGGCACATAATGCAGTTTTTAAATTAACTTCTAAATTATACAATTTCTATTTGTTGTTGAAATATAATAATTTACACAGTGGCTGTCGTAACTTTTTCAAAAAAGATTTATTTACACATATTAAATAATTAAGACGTCACTAACTAGTCTAATATTTCTCAAAATACTCTTCTCGAGACTTCAGATAACGAGCTGTAGACACTGATGACTTGCCTGAGGTAAATGAAATGCTACGTGACATTTTGTTTACAAGCCGTTTAATTTACGTCTCTCCGCGGTTGAAACACTGATTGAGCGATTACATGAGGCATGGTTTGTTCATTCATGTTTATTTCACGTTAAAACTGAACCACTTAGAGAACATTGCCGACCACATAGCAACGCCTTGTCAACAACTCAGAACATTTTAGCAACTGCTTGGCAATTTCACGGCAACCAATCAGAACACCGCTGCCTAGCAACAGCTTAGAAACCACTTAGCGCACATTGACAACCATACAGTCTTAAAATCCACTCAGAATATGTCAGAAACTGTTGCCAATGTCCTGTCGACCAATCAGAACACCTTTGCAACCGCCAGGCAACCACCTAGAACACCTTAGCAACTGCCTAGCAACACCTTAGAAACCACTTAGAGAACATTGGCAACCACAGTCTTAACAACCACTCAGAATATGTCAACAACTGTTGCCAATGTCCTGTCAACCAATCAGAACACCTTTGCAACCACCTAGAACACTTTAGCAACTGCCTAGCAACACCTTAGAAACCACTTAGAGAGCATTGGCAACCACACGGTCTTAACAACCACTCAGAATATGTCAGCAACTGTTGCCAATGTCCTGTCAACCAATCAGAACACCTTTGCAACCACCTAGAACACCTTAGCAACTGCCTAGCAACACCTTAGAAACCACTTGGAGAACATTGGCAACCACACAGTCTTAACAACCACTCAGAATGTATCAGCAACTGCTTGGCAACGTTCTGGCAACCAATGTGAACACCTTTGCAACAGACAGACAGCCACCCAGAATATCTTAGCAACTGCCTAGTAACAATCTATAAATTACTTAGAGGACCATAGGAACCGTTAAGTAATGCCCTAGCAATCATTTAGAAAATGTTAGCTACGGAGTGGTAACCAGCAACCCACCACAGCTTGAATCTTGAATCAATCTAAAGGTCCCTAGCAAAAAATATCAACACACTGGTCTACAATCTCCTTTGTTGCGCCACAATTGATCGCAACCGGTATGAATAGCTCCATAGGGATCTATTGTTTTGATTCAAGAACGTCATTGTGTGGTGCATTTGCGTCGCTGAATTGCGCTCAATGTGAAAGAACCTTAAATCGTTTCCAACTTCAAATCTCTGTTCAGATTAAGTATTCAAACGGCATGAGACCTCAATACTTTAAAGTGACAGTTGTAGTTTGTCTTGATGTTTGCCTTTAGTTAATTTAATTTACGTTTATTTGTATAGCGTTTTCCACGATGCACATCATTCCAAAGCAGCTTCACAGAAAATCAATGTGTCGTCAATGACGCTCAATGTTTTCAGGTTTACCGCTGGAAGGGTGAAAACTCATACTTTGTGAAAGGATGCACGTTAAACATTTTCCTCCTATAGAAAATCATTATAAATAAAACACGTAATGTAGCTTAATGGACAAAGACAATGATATAAAAGAGCTGTAGACAGTTTATTCTATATGGAAAAACGTTTAACGCAAAACTTTGCGTGTTGCGTTTATTCTGGGCTCACCTGCTTGCCTGTACATATTAGTTATGTATATTTTAATAATGAAGAGGAGTATATTAAATTAGTTTTAATTGTTTAAGCACCACAGTGTCTTGTCTCCATTGGCAACACGCACGATTTGTGTCGATTGCAACTGACGCCACAGGGATTAATTCCCAAACTAATAT